TGGAGGAAACTTCACTCGCAAGTGCCCTTTGATGTCCTTCTCCAGGCACCAGGAATCGTCGCATTTTGTGAAATCTGATGCCTGTAGACCACGTTGCAGACTGTAGAAAGATGAGAATCTCACTCTTGCCTGTTGGCAAACTGGGCTTTGTAGCCAGCGACTGGGCTTATTAGCCGGCAGATTTTGCTATGTAAAATTCCGTCCCAAGCTAGTTTGGGCTTAATACGCGCCTGGGCCTATTAACCGTGGGCTTAATAACCGGCGATTGGCACGCGGCTGGGCTTATTAGCCGTGGGCTTAATAGCCGGCGACTACGACTTATTAGCCGGCGGATTTTGCTATGTAAAATTCCGTCCCAAGCTGATGTGGGTATTAGCCGGCGGATTTTGCTATGTAAAATTCCGTCCCAAGCTGATTTGGGCGGCTCAATAACTGGGCTTAATACGCGGCTGGGCTTATTAACCGTGGGCTTAATAACCGGCGACCTACTGTATAACATACTTCACAAGCAAATCATCCTCCCTGCACCACTATGCCGTGGTGCGTTTGATGAAACCAGTCGAAACCACTAGTCCACCAGGCAGCTTAATAGATAGGAGTACCGGTTGTCACATGACTAAATCCATTAGAGTGGTTAAATATAACTTCAAAGGAACAAAAAGTAGTTGAAATTTGAGAAACACAAGCAGGTATATGGGATACGCTTCTACTTTCCCTTTAAGTGCACCCATCCTTAGATTTTCAAGATGATTCATCGTTGTTTTGGTCCTTCAAAAAGAATTGTTTTCTTTTGCAGTTCGGCGCAATGAACTCTTCTTGATGGCACTCCTGAAAGATCGTCACAAATTTATCCAGCCCTTAGTTGATATTGGCATTCAACCACAAGAATTCGTCACCACGAAGTTCCTCCGCGACCTATACAATAATTGTTCTGGTTCTTCGAATGTCTCGCGTCTGTTATTCCTCGCAGGTCTGGTTAAGCGGGGACGACTACCGAATACCCAGCGTGCCCACACTCCTGCCGGCTCTTTTGAAATGAGCAAAGAAGGTATTCCTGCTGGGGAAAAACTTTCCTCCGCCCCAATTGCCCTGCAAGATATTCATGCCTACCTGTACAATGCACTGGGAGGTTTCGACTGTCCGCAATACTTGAAAACTTTAGAGGTAGCTTTTGACTTTTTCGATCGTATCTGTTGTTGCTCGGCCTCATTTTAAGAAAATTCTACCTTACTTCACCCTGAACAGCCGAATTTTTTTTCCAGAGTTCAATGGTCAGCCAGTAGTTATAAGTAAACTGTCTGTTAACCTATGAAAGATTTTAAAATCTCAAGAGCTAAATTTAGTGAACATAATTATCAGCTAACAGCGGACAGCCGGCATAAGTTAACAGATATCTCTGTGCCTCATGTGTTTCCTGTTACACTTTCATGCTCTAGTCACACAAACGTTGCATTTGACGATCAGTCTTGATGTATATGAGAAACATGTTCAGCCACTTTTACTTTTAATCAATGCGGGACTTTAAGAATTATTTCTGAAATCATAGCGTCGGCAGCCGGCCTCCCACAGCAGCAGACCCGAAAAATTAACATATCCTATTCCCAGACGCCACGGATAACGGGTGTGCCCATGCGTAAAAAATAAATCGATAGAGTTGAGTTCGCTAACAGAAGCTCAAAGGTCACAACTCTATTTTTAGTTTTGGCAGACCATCCGATGCAATCATGTCTGCTCCCGATTAATGATAAAGGCTGACTCTATTAACACTTTATTTTATGCCTAACGAAAATATCACAGTAAATTATAATATATAATATATGACTAGCTGACGACACTAAGTTCACCACAAATCAGCATTGCACTTTCCCATTTTCTTTTCCAGCACCACTTGTGGATAAAATAAACTCAGACGAGTTAAGGCATATATACACAGTCTCTAAACTCGTGCCATAATCAAATGACATATAAAGATGCTAAATGTTATCGTTGGCTTGATTCTTTATTCAGACTCGCATGCCATGTGGACTTAAAATTCCTTGGTCTGTGCTTATGGCATGACGAACTGTGATCAGATTCCATTAGGCGATACCCTGATAGAATTTACGCAACATTTGAGAGTAAGCTGTGTCGGGCAATGCGTAAGCTGAAACAAAGAATCGCTGTTTCATATATATATATATAT